CATACCAAGTCTCTCTCTTTCTCAAAACATTGTAATTCTCCTAGAGTATACTCTTCCAGTGACTTTTATTCATCAGTAAAGATCTCCGATCACCGTGCCGTTCCAGAGAGTGGAGTAGGTCACCGAGACTGAACCACTATAAATCTGCTTGTTTGCTCCTATTTATTGTTTTTGTCATTGATTATCTTATTTATAGCTCATTAATTACACCTCTTCAAATACTCGACTGGTGATCTTGCACAAGATCAAATTTGTGCATCATCAGTAATAAAATGCAATTGTTTAGGATCGATTCTAACATTATAATGACTTATCCACAAACAGAGACGGAGTCAGGATTTTATTTTAAAGGGGGCCGAATAGTGTTTTAGTCAAAAATTTTCATTCAATAGATTCATTGGATGAGCTATCAAAATTTTTGGTGAATCATTAACTATTCAAATTGTTAAGTTTTTGCACGAATTGTTAAATTTTAATTTTGCTCTATATGTTGGACTAAAACAGTTTAGGAAACAATTTTGAATACTTAAGGATGCAATGTGTTTGAATCAATAGTTGAAGGGTAAGACAAAATCAAAATCACAATTTAAGTACATAAAATATAATTTTGATAACTTAAGGGGCCATGTAAGGTGAAAGAACAAGAATATAATTATTGGTTTGAAGCATAATTTTCTAAATTGAGAGGGCCAATTTTAGAGATATAAAATATGATTCAAAAAATATGATATGATAATATTCATCAATATTCGAGTAGTCCAAATAGCTAAGTATATATGGTGATGAAAATATGAGATATTTTTTTTTATATTTGGCTTATTTTTCATTTGCATTCTTTAAATATAGGGTTTAATTCCACGTATATATACAACCACCATCAATAATACACCGACAGAACCTTTGTTTGTGGCATGGGATCCCACTCTTTGAAATAATTTAAATAATAAGGTCATGGTTTGTGTTTAGAAAACAGTTTTTTGTTCTCAAATCTCTAAAAACAATGAAAACATGTATGGTTAGATTTTTTTAATCTATAATTTTCAGAAAAAAAAAAAGTGAGAATTGAGATGGATTTTTAGAGAACATGTTGGGGGCATTTTGGCTGAATTTGGGAACAAATTTTCACAACACAGAAAACACGGGAAACAAGTCCAATTAATGAGGTCTCATCATCGAATCCCATTAACTACAAAATAGGAGCACCAACAAATAACTTCAGTTGCCTTCTCCTTCTCTGCCGAAGTTTGACGCCAACGTATGAGCACCGACGATGGCCAAAGGTCAACAACGAACAACTGTAGTCTTCTCTCTCTCACGCAATTTATCTCTTCTCTTTCTCTCTCTGCAGCAGATTTGAACAGATCTGTATATATACACAGATCTGTGTATATATACAGATCTGTGATCTTTGTGTGTGTATATATATGTGTGTGTGTGTGTGTGTGTATTATCTGATGTATATGAATATGAATGTGTGGGTGTGAGATGGTTGTATGTGTGGGTAGGTGTTTGTTGGCTTTGTGTGTGTGGCTGATCTTGTTATGAGAGAAGATAATGTGGAGAGAGAGAGAGGACTCTAGACGATGGTGTTACTGTCGGAGAGAGAAGATACAAAAGTGTGTTTTTTTTTTTTTGGTCAAAAGTAATAAGTTAAAAATTAGTTTTGTGGATTATTACTCAAACAGATTTTACAATTTTTTGTTTTTTAAAATTATTTTCAAAAATACATAACCAAACAGGTTTTACAATCTAAAAATTTTTAAAAACACTTTCTTAAAATTGTTCTCAAAAACTATTTTTATATGTTGTTTTTTGAGATGCAAACCAAACATGCCCTAAATATTTATATGTTATTATTTTGAAATCCCAAGTTCAACTCTCTCAAAAGCTTTGGTTCACATCCAAGACACGTGGTTTAAGCAAGATTGTGTCTATTCAACATTTACATTATAACCCTATTTAAATAACGTATGATTGAGATGGTTATTCGTTGTATAAAAAATGCTTGAGTAGGCTCCATGTATATAGAATTAGGCCAACATACAAGTGCTCCACTTAGCATCCACCCCAAGCACCATCAACAACCACATGGCATCAAAGACAAACCTCCAGAAGGAAAAATTCAAATAGTTGCCTAATGCTCCCAAGCTCAATCTAGAAGAAAGCTAAAATTGTAACACATATATTAGAATTAGACCATGACCAAGTTTCAAGCCATTTTCTACTCCTACTATTCCAGAAGAGCATAAAGCTCTCTCTCTCTCTCTCTCTCAAGTTGACTAGATGGTTGGAATTAATGATTTTTCAAATGGTTGTGGAAGAGTTGTGTTATACAAGTAACTCTTCCCAAGATTCTGCCTTTTTTGTCCATAAGCCATGGACTGATACAAAAGTGCAAAAAAAAATTCGAAAAAATGAATAGGAAAGAGAAGACTAGAAAAAGAATTGAAAATAATAAATCAGAGATTCAAGAGACGAGAACTGAAAAAAAGGCATACGTCTACGACTTGCTAACCAAGAATAGAACAAACAAATCACTATCCTTGTCCCTCCAGAAGTGGAGTAGCTATCGAGCATAACGGTTGCATCACATGATCAATAATTTCACCTGTTGAATAGTTATCACTTTACGTGGATGAGTAGTTATTAAAATTTGTATCGTTCATATGTCCATTTGTTCACTTATTAATAAATAATTACACCACGTAGCACTATTGATACGGTATAACCATTAAATTAAATATTTTGTCTTAGAAGTGCAACATCGTTTTCTCTCTAAAAGTAGTTTAGGAGGTAGTTTTGGTTGAAGCATGCGTTTAACATCAATCCTAGCCTAGGGATAATTGGGCCCTGAGGCATGAGGTGTGTGGTTTTGAACCATTACCCTATTGATGGATATAGGTACTGGAGATATGATAAAATTCATCGAGAAATCAATTAATATCTGCATAACTCCAAAGAAGCATAAGCTGTATATACCAATCAATAATAATAGACCGATGTAGTTTATTATGTTTTATTTTGTGGATATAGATATAATGTACTGATTATATATGTTTTGCGTCACTAAAACTCTCGATTCTTGTAAATGACTTCTATAAGCATAACGGTGGAGAATCCCACCCTTCAAGATATTTCAAATTAGAAAAAGTTAGACGTTATTACTTTAAAATTTAAAGTTCAACGCTTACAAAAAAACTCTGATTTATCCAAGACGTACTGCTTATAATTCTAAGTTGATCAGGCGAATTCAACATTTAAATTAGAATTTCGATTTTAATAATGTATGATTGAGTCGATTATTCATGGTGTAAACAAAATGCTTGAAAGTAGGCCCCATATCTAGAATAATTAGGCCAACAGAGTTGCTCCACTTAGCATCCACCTATAAATCAAGCCTTTTTGGCTTTGAATTCAAACATCAACGAGCACATGGAGCCCCACCACTGCATGGTGTACCGCATCCAATACAAACATCCAGAAGGAAAAATCCAAATAGTTGCCTAATGCTACCAAGCTACATCTAGAAGAAACCCACAATTATATTATATACATATATTAGTATGTGACCATGACCACGTTTCAATCCATTTTCCATGCCTGCAATTCTAGAAGAGCAAAAGGGTCCCCTCCATCCTCCCCCTTTTTTTACCGGTCAGAGTTTTCGAGTCAGTTTATGTATATCTTAATTAATTTTCTCCTTAATTCAGTCAAAGATAAGTCATCTATGTCGGGATTAAGTTATTCATAAGAGATCTTAGTCTCAAGGAATTGTCAAGAGTTGAACTCAAAACGTCTGAATTTATGTCTCGTTCTCGTTATCACTTGAATTATCCCTTGGGTTCTGTCTCAAATTTGAATTTTTCACTTATAAAAGGCACAATAACAATCAAAATTAACTCAATTTTCATCTATTTCGATCTAATAGTACAAAATTTATTCTAAAATATTTTTTTCCGTTTAAAAATATTATATTTTCTATACGATTCTCAATATGAAACAACTTAATCAACATATTCTCTAATGTCAGACAATCTCACTAATCCACACTTACCTACCTCTCTTATTTTTTTACTGTTTACTTTAATTTTAAATTACATAATTAAAAAAAATAAATTACTACTAAAAATATAAATATTGTAGGACTAATGCACAAATTTTAGTATTACAGGTAACTTGAGACACATGTTATTGCTAGGATAATTATATTCCCTCTAGAAGCCCATATAAAATTCTATTTCCTCTAGAAGCTGTTGCTATCAAGTAGCCGTTTGTAGCATGCGAGTCTCTTTCGTCCTTCTCCTCATATATATTTTAAACAAGATAGATGATATCAATACAAAAATAATACAATCTAATAATNGGACTAATGCACAAATTTTAGTATTACAGGTAACTTGAGACACATGTTATTGCTAGGATAATTATATTCCCTCTAGAAGCCCATATAAAATTCTATTTCCTCTAGAAGCTGTTGCTATCAAGTAGCCGTTTGTAGCATGCGAGTCTCTTTCGTCCTTCTCCTGATACATATTTTAAACAAGATAGATGATACCAATACAAAAATAATACAATCTAATAATATTAAAAATAAATTAGTTAAATTTACATTAAACACGAATAATTGAGCTTTTCGACTTATATTGTAATTATTTTTTTTTTAAAAATNATTTACATTAAACACGAATAATTGAGCTTTTCGACTTATATTGTAATTATTTTTTTTAAAAAAAANTAATATTAAAAATAAATTAGTTAAATTTACATTAAACACGAATAATTGAGCTTTTCGACTTATATTGTAATTATTTTTTTTTTAAAAAATATATTTTGCCTTAATATTACATGAATTGTTAGAGAATCGGATTATTATGAATATAGGAGAGAAATGAGGGTCTTAAGAGGTTATTGGACTTTTAGTCGGTTTAAAATTGACCTGATCTAATACAAACATGACACAAAGATAATATAACACGAAAATAAACACAAGTTAAAACTACCACGACTCGAATCTATTACTCGGGTGACGCAACTCCTATACATTAACACTTGCAAGTCTCTCTCGCACTGAAGCTCCTTTTATATAATCATTGAATAGGTACCCTCAATTCCTCATTGGTGAGAATCTCTATAACAACTACGTATCTCCTCAAAACTTTCTTCCAATATCCGTCACTCCTCCATTACAGCTATGGCTTCCAAAGAATCCAAAGAGCCTTACCAAGACTTGGTGACAGAAAACACTGTACAAGATGACTTAGACGAAGCAGAGGAGACACTATCCCTATGTGATCTTCCTATATACAACGATTCTGCTCGTTACGAAGACTTCTCTGAACAACATCAAAACTTTTCATCATCGCCGTCCGATCAAGACTGCTTTGAATTCTTCAGTGAAGATTGGATTAAAGGGTCCAGTTTTTCATCGGAAAACATTGTCTTCTGTGGAAAGATCATTCCCTGCAAAGAACCAGTCTCCGAAGACACCCACAAGAAAGAAAGCAACAAAGAGCGAGAAGAACACAAGCCTGGCCTTTTCAGGTGGACATCGNTACAAAATTTATTCTAAAATATTTTTTTCCGTTTAAAAATATTATATTTTCTATACGATTCTCAATATGAAACAACTTAATCAACATATTCTCTAATGTCAGACAATCTCACTAATCCACACTTACCTACCTCTCTTATTTTTTTACTGTTTACTTTAATTTTAAATTACATAATTAAAAAAAATAAATTACTATTAAAAATATAAATATTGTAGGACTAATGCACAAATTTTAGTATTACAGGTAACTTGAGACATATGTTATTGCTAGGATAATTATATTCCCTCTAGAAGCCCATATAAAATTCTATTTCCTCTAGAAGCTGTTGCTATCAAGTAGCCGTTTGTAGCATGCGAGTCTCTTTCGTCCTTCTCCTCATATATATTTTAAACAAGATAGATGATATCAATACAAAAATAATACAATCTAATAATATTAAAAATAAATTAGTTAAATTTACATTAAACACGAATAATTGAGCTTTTCGACTTATATTGTAATTATTTTTTTTTTAAAAAATATATTTTGCCTTAATATTACATGAATTGTTAGAGAATCGGATTATTATGAATATAGGAGAGAAATGAGGGTCTTAAGAGGTTATTGGACTTTTAGTCGGTTTAAAATTGACCTGATCTAATACAAACATGACACAAAGATAATATAACACGAAAATAAACACAAGTTAAAACTACCACGACTCGAATCTATTACTCGGGTGACGCAACTCCTATACATTAACACTTGCAAGTCTCTCTCGCACTGAAGCTCCTTTTATATAATCATTGAATAGGTACCCTCAATTCCTCATAGGTGAGAATCTCTATAACAACTACTTATCTCCTCAAAACTTTCTTCCAATATCCGTCACTCCTCCATTACAGCTATGGCTTCCAAAGAATCCAAAGAGCCTTACCAAGACTTGGTGACAGAAAACACTGTACAAGATGACTTAGACGAAGCAGAGGAGACACTATCCCTATGTGATCTTCCTATATACAACGATTCTGCTCGTTACGAAGACTTCTCTGAACAACATCAAAACTTTTCATCATCATCATCATCGCCGTCCGATCAAGACTGCTTTGAATTCTTCAGTGAAGATTGGATTAAAGGGTCCAGTTTTTCATCGGAAAAAATTGTCTTCTGTGGAAAGATCATTCCCTGCAAAGAACCAGTCTCCGAAGACACCCACAAGAAAGAAAGCAACAAAGAGCGAGAAGAACACAAGCCTGGCCTTTTCAGGTGGACATCGAAGTCGTTGAACAGATCAAAACCCTCTGAATCCAGAAAAAGGGTGTCAAATTTGCGGTATGTTTCGAGTTCAAAGACTTTGTCATCGCCGGTGCCGGAGAAATATAGGTATGACACCCATAAATGCAGCAAGAAATATGATAGATGGTACTTGTTCATGTTTGGATTGGCCAAGTTTCCGGCGGAGATGGAACTGAGGGATATGAGAAGCAGGAAGATTCGCAGGAAATCATGGTTGTTTAGAACCAACGGTGGTGGTGAGAAGGGGTTTGTTGGGAGGAGAAGAATGAAGGGGTTGTGGGGGCTGATTAGAGCTTTGGGTTGTGGTGGCCTACACCATACAACCGCCGTCGCGAGTAGTGGCCCCGCCTTGAACGTGTCCGAGTATGCAAGAATTGACTGTATGACACGCTCCAAACTAGGATAGACGTGTACTGATGTCTTTTTTATTTGAAATTCTTTTATTAGTGCACATATTTCAATTTAATTACGAGGTTTTAGATTTGTGTCGTCTTCGAATTATTATGGTTGGGTTGTGTTCATGTCTTATTTGGATCAAAAAGCATAACCCAAAAACACCATTAGTCAGATGCTCTTCTTGTTCAATCAAATCCATCCCATTTCTCCCAAAAATTAAACTCTTTAATTTAACCCTCACGTGCACATTAGGTGGCTGCTGAATCATTACATAATATCCGACTCATATGATGATGTGCACGTAAAGATTTATATCAAAGATAACGACAACTTTGAACAAAATGGCCGCATTGAATCAAATTGTATAGTTAAAGAACTAAATAATACAAAACGTAGTTCAAAGACTTGATTGATATAAACGGAATGAGCAATGCTATACGGACCTTATTTGGAGACTTAATGATGTGACTTTAATGCAACCATTGGATTAGTTGTGAGTTCCAATGTTAAATGAAGCCCACAATCAATCTACTTGTTGTATTGAATTAGGTCCCCAAATTATGTTCAAATAACATTTTCCAAACGGTATAGTTCAGAGGCCAAATAGATAGTTTAACTCAAAAAATCCACAGCACATTTACATAAGGTGTGGGGGTCAGCTAAATCCATTCCTATCTAATTAAAGGCAATACCAAATAGGGGTGTGGGAGGGCCATCCTTTTGGTTGTCTGTATGAATACTGGTGAAAGAGAATTCTTCGATTACCGTAAAAATTACCTAACGAGGGCCACAAACTTCTAACATTTCTCACTCCACAATAAATTAAACAAAAAAAGACCAATGTCCTCCCCGAATGGTTGGAACCCTTTATAGTAGAATGGTAAGTTGATGGTACAAGTCCCCCTTCCCTGTAGTGTAAAAATATCGTTACCTATCAAAAAAAATTATTAAAGAAGAAGCTACTGAATTATCATATTTTTCAAGTGCCTCAATTGAAGTATTTTAAGAAATGAAAATGAATTGAAGAATGAAAGTTTTTTCAACAGGAAGGAAAAACTCAAAAATCCTCCTTTTTCTATATCATAACTTGTTTATNCCTGAGGCATGAGGTGTGTGGTTTTGAACCATTACCCTATTGATGGATATAGGTACCGGAGATATGATAAAATTCATCGAGAAATCAATTAATATCTGCATAACTCCAAAGAAGCATAAGCTGTATATACCAATCAATAATAATAGACCGATGTAGTTTATTATGTTTTATTTTGTGGATATAGATATAATGTACTGATTATATATGTTTTGCGTCACTAAAACTCTCGATTCTTGTAAATGACTTCTATAAGCATAACGGTGGAGAATCCCACCCTTCAAGATATTTCAAATTAGAAAAAGTTAGACGTTATTACTNTTATATATGTTTTGCGTCACTAAAACTCTCGATTCTTGTAAATGACTTCTATAAGCAGAACGGTGGAGAATCCCACCCTTCAAGATATTTCAAATTAGAAAAAGTTAGACGTTATTACCNGGGCGCCGCCCTTGTCACCACGAAAATCCTCTCCAAGCTTCTTTGAACTCCTAGTCTCCATATATTTGTTGTGACTTGGGGAAGATAAGATTAAGGTAGAGAAATGGGTGTGAGGAATAGTAGCTTCTAAAGGAAGCCTTTAAATAAGAGAAGAATGGCTTCTTGGAGAAGCCTTGTAGGATAACTTCTTGGAGAAGCCCCAAGGGAAATGAAAAGAGGAATGAAGGGAGAGACCAGAGACTTCTATTTATAGACGAAGACCCAGCAAGAGGAATGCCGAAAAATGCAAAAAATATCCGATGTCAGTAGCTTCAACAGAGAGTCCTTGAAAATGAAAAGGCGTCGTAGAGAGCAAGAAAGCTCCTACTCACTCAAGTGAAGAAAAAGCTCATGCCCTCAACCCTGCTCTCACAAACAATCGGAGGCCTAGGGCATGGGGGGCAAATAATGAGCCCAAAAATCAACTGGGCCAGTCCCAATAAATCTAGAGGGCCTAAATCAGCTGAAGGGTAGCCTAGGCCCACTTTGCCAATCCGACCAAGTTTAGGATCCAAGGAGCCCGAAGAGATAGGAGCACGTAGGAGAAATTGTTGGGATATGTACTCAAGGAAATCTAATCCTTCTTTAATTGTACTTATCAAAAGAGTAGTGCCCCTCTCCCTCACGTCACTGCCTCACCGCTTCACCGCTTCACCAAACCTATATAATGTAAGCCCTCTCCACATGGAGGAGCATTACCTTTGAGACCTCAACACACCACATTAAATCTCTACACCTCTCTACATACCAAGTCTCTCTCTTTCTCAAAACATTGTAATTCTCCTAGAGTATACTCTTCCAGTGACTTTTATTCATCAGTAAAGATCTCCGATCACCGTGCCGTTCCAGAGAGTGGAGTAGGTCACCGAGACTGAACCACTATAAATCTGCTTGTTTGCTCCTATTTATTGTTTTTGTCATTGATTATCTTATTTATAGCTCATTAATTACACCTCTTCAAATACTCGACTGGTGATCTTGCACAAGATCAAATTTGTGCATCATCAGTAATAAAATGCAATTGTTTAGGATCGATTCTAACATTATAATGACTTATCCACAAACAGAGACGGAGTCAGGATTTTATTTTAAAGGGGGCCGAATAGTGTTTTAGTCAAAAATTTTCATTCAATAGATTCATTGGATGAGCTATCAAAATTTTTGGTGAATCATTAACTATTCAAATTGTTAAGTTTTTGCACGAATTGTTAAATTTTAATTTTGCTCTATATGTTGGACTAAAACAGTTTAGGAAACAATTTTGAATACTTAAGGATGCAATGTGTTTGAATCAATAGTTGAAGGGTAAGACAAAATCAAAATCACAATTTAAGTACATAAAATATAATTTTGATAACTTAAGGGGCCATGTAAGGTGAAAGAACAAGAATATAATTATTGGTTTGAAGCATAATTTTCTAAATTGAGAGGGCCAATTTTAGAGATATAAAATATGATTCAAAAAATATGATATGATAATATTCATCAATATTCGAGTAGTCCAAATAGCTAAGTATATATGGTGATGAAAATATGAGATATTTTTTTTTATATTTGGCTTATTTTTCATTTGCATTCTTTAAATATAGGGTTTAATTCCACGTATATATACAACCACCATCAATAATACACCGACAGAACCTTTGTTTGTGGCATGGGATCCCACTCTTTGAAATAATTTAAATAATAAGGTCATGGTTTGTGTTTAGAAAACAGTTTTTTGTTCTCAAATCTCTAAAAACAATGAAAACATGTATGGTTAGATTTTTTTAATCTATAATTTTCAGAAAAAAAAAAAGTGAGAATTGAGATGGATTTTTAGAGAACATGTTGGGGGCATTTTGGCTGAATTTGGGAACAAATTTTCACAACACAGAAAACACGGGAAACAAGTCCAATTAATGAGGTCTCATCATCGAATCCCATTAACTACAAAATAGGAGCACCAACAAATAACTTCAGTTGCCTTCTCCTTCTCTGCCGAAGTTTGACGCCAACGTATGAGCACCGACGATGGCCAAAGGTCAACAACGAACAACTGTAGTCTTCTCTCTCTCACGCAATTTATCTCTTCTCTTTCTCTCTCTGCAGCAGATTTGAACAGATCTGTATATATACACAGATCTGTGTATATATACAGATCTGTGATCTTTGTGTGTGTATATATATGTGTGTGTGTGTGTGTGTGTATTATCTGATGTATATGAATATGAATGTGTGGGTGTGAGATGGTTGTATGTGTGGGTAGGTGTTTGTTGGCTTTGTGTGTGTGGCTGATCTTGTTATGAGAGAAGATAATGTGGAGAGAGAGAGAGGACTCTAGACGATGGTGTTACTGTCGGAGAGAGAAGATACAAAAGTGTGTTTTTTTTTTTTTGGTCAAAAGTAATAAGTTAAAAATTAGTTTTGTGGATTATTACTCAAACAGATTTTACAATTTTTTGTTTTTTAAAATTATTTTCAAAAATACATAACCAAACAGGTTTTACAATCTAAAAATTTTTAAAAACACTTTCTTAAAATTGTTCTCAAAAACTATTTTTATATGTTGTTTTTTGAGATGCAAACCAAACATGCCCTAAATATTTATATGTTATTATTTTGAAATCCCAAGTTCAACTCTCTCAAAAGCTTTGGTTCACATCCAAGACACGTGGTTTAAGCAAGATTGTGTCTATTCAACATTTACATTATAACCCTATTTAAATAACGTATGATTGAGATGGTTATTCGTTGTATAAAAAATGCTTGAGTAGGCTCCATGTATATAGAATTAGGCCAACATACAAGTGCTCCACTTAGCATCCACCCCAAGCACCATCAACAACCACATGGCATCAAAGACAAACCTCCAGAAGGAAAAATTCAAATAGTTGCCTAATGCTCCCAAGCTCAATCTAGAAGAAAGCTAAAATTGTAACACATATATTAGAATTAGACCATGACCAAGTTTCAAGCCATTTTCTACTCCTACTATTCCAGAAGAGCATAAAGCTCTCTCTCTCTCTCTCTCTCAAGTTGACTAGATGGTTGGAATTAATGATTTTTCAAATGGTTGTGGAAGAGTTGTGTTATACAAGTAACTCTTCCCAAGATTCTGCCTTTTTTGTCCATAAGCCATGGACTGATACAAAAGTGCAAAAAAAAATTCGAAAAAATGAATAGGAAAGAGAAGACTAGAAAAAGAATTGAAAATAATAAATCAGAGATTCAAGAGACGAGAACTGAAAAAAAGGCATACGTCTACGACTTGCTAACCAAGAATAGAACAAACAAATCACTATCCTTGTCCCTCCAGAAGTGGAGTAGCTATCGAGCATAACGGTTGCATCACATGATCAATAATTTCACCTGTTGAATAGTTATCACTTTACGTGGATGAGTAGTTATTAAAATTTGTATCGTTCATATGTCCATTTGTTCACTTATTAATAAATAATTACACCACGTAGCACTATTGATACGGTATAA